TACTAGGCCGTTTCAATAAGCTTTCCAACTGTGTCTGTTATAAAATGTTTAAAACTATAATATAATATTTTGAAAGCTTCAAATGCGTGTGCTTACATGCGCAGCAAGGCGAAACTTTGAAAATTATAGTTTTTGAATTTCCGTGGCATGATCGACAACAGTTTGTTGCGAACGTTTTCTCGGCGAATTTTCTACTAACCTGTATATAAATTCCACTAAAATGTAGGCATTTTCACAAGCTTTCAAAACATCCACGTTAGGGGTGTATGTCGTTAAATTTCGACTTAATGTAAGCGATTGAAACTCGTGCCTAAAACCAGACATAATATATATTCCGACTAGAATGTATATTCCGATGGCAATTTTTACACCCTCGTTTAGGCAACGAATTATCGCTCAATATTCTAGCTACAATGTTATAGCTTGTACCACAATGTAGCTGATTTCACCAGCTATCTGTACAATTATTGTACCTGTATTAATATTCGCACAGATATAGACGAATAAAAGTCATGTTTATGTTGCATTAAACATTCTAATTATAATTCTGGTTTCAAATTTTGTTTACATTGTGTGATTTTGACCCCGTCGTTTAGACAACGTTTTCTCGCTCAATATTGTAGCTACAAGAATATAGCTCCCGCTAAAATGTAGGCATTTTCACCAGCTATCTGACAATATGCGTAAAATTATTATACTTGTAATATTCGCACAGATATAGACGAATAAAAGTCATGTTATGTTGCATTAAACTTTCTAATTATAATTCTGGTTTCAAATATTGTTTACATTTTGTTATTTTGACCCCGTCGTTTAGACAACGTTTTCTAGCTCAATATTGTAGCTACAATATTCTAGCTCGTACCAAAATGTAGCTGATTTCACCAGCTATCTGACAATATGTGTAAAATTATTATACTTGTAATATTCGCACAGATATAGACGAATAAATTCATGTTTATTTTGCATTAAACTTTCTAATTATAATTCTGGTTTCAAATTTTGTTTACATTGTGTGATTTTGACCCCGTCGTTTAGACAACGTTTTCTCGCTCAATATTGTAGCAAAATGTAGGCATTTTCACCAGCTATCTGACAATATGCGTAAAATTATTATACTTGTAATATTCGCACATATAAAAGTCATGTTTATGTTGCATTAAACTTTCTAATTATGATATTAATATAATTAATATATATACTATTAATATATAAAGCGGTTGAAACTCATGCCTAAAAGCAGACATAATATGTTCCGACTATTAACGACATTCACCCCTAACGCAGATAGTTTGAATGCTTGTGAAAATGCCTACATTTTAGCGGGAGCTATATTCCTGTAGCTACAATATCGAGCGAGAAAACGTTGTCTAAACGACGGGGTCAAAATAAAAAAAATGTAAACAATGTTTGAAACCATGCAGAATTATAATTAGAATGTTTAATGGAACATAAACATGACTTTTATTCGTCTATATCTGTGCGAATATTACAAGTATAATAATTTTACACATATTGTCAGATAGCTGGTGAAATCAGCTACATTTTGGTACGAGCTAGAATATTGTAGCTACAATATTGAGCGAGAAAACGTTGTCTAAATGACGGGGTCAAAATAACAAAATGTAAACAATATTTGAAACCAGAATTATAATTAGAATGTTTAATGCAACATAAACATGACTTTTATTCGTCTATATCTGTGCGAATATTACAAGTATAATAATTTTACGCATATTGTCAGATAGCTGGTGATGCCTACATTTTAGCGGGAGCTAGAATATTGTAGCTACAATATTGAGCCGCGAGAAAACGTTGTCTAAACGATGGGGTCAAAATCACACAATGTAAACAAAATTTGAATTATAATTAGAATGTTTAATGCAACATAAACATGACTTTTATTCGTCTATATCTGTGCGAATATTAATACAGGTACAATAATTGTACACATATTGTCAGATAGCTGGTGAAATCAGCTACATTTTGGTACAAGCTATAACATTGTAGCTAGAATATTGAGCGATAATTCGTTGCCTAAACGAGGGTGTAAAAATTGCCATCGGAATATACATTCTAGTCGGAATATATATTATGTCTGGTTTTAGGCACGAGTTTCAATCGCTTACATTAAGTCGAAATTTAACGACATACACCCCTAACGTGGATGTGTTGAAAGCTTGTGAAAATGCCTACATTTTAGTGGAATTTATATACAGGTTAGTAGAAAATTCGCCGAGAAAACGTTCGCAACAAACTGTTGTCGATCATGCCACGGAAATTCAAAAACTATAATTTTCAAAGTCTCGCCTTGCTGCGCATGTAAGCACACGCATTTGAAGCTTTCAGAATATTATATTATAGTTTTAAACATTTTATAACAGACACAGTTGGAAAGCTTATTGAAACGGCTAGTATTTTGAAAATGATGTGGTATCTGCCAGACGTATATAAAAAATCGAGCTTCAATTCAACAGTATTGATAATAGTATTCGCTATTAAAACTAACCCACTGTGTTTCCTCCAGAATAATAGAACATCAGCCTTGCACAAAATTTCTTGAGGTTGTTTACTTTTAATACTGCTTACTTGTTTGTTCACAGTTCGAGGATCTGACACGAGGGGCAGGGCTCTCACAATCAAATTTTCGAATTCCTTAGAAAAAGCTCGAAAATTCCTCAGATTTCCTTAAAATTCCTTAAATTGGTAAAATTACCAGAAGGCCTGATCACACAGTTGCAAAAAGTGTTTTTTTCCTCCTTTTTGCAGTTTTTATAACCTTGTTTCTAAGCATTTGATTGTTAGCGTAATGCCATAAAGAAATCATTCAACATGATGTATTTTTGATTGTTGCTGCATGAAGAGCTTAAAAAATCTGTAGATTTCAGAAGAAACAGCATATACTGACATTTAACTTTTGAGAATTTTAATGAAAAGACCTGTGGCGGACACTTTACGAAATATTGGGGGGGGGGAGGCTCGTGCCAAAGGCACGGAAAAATTTTAAAATTTGAATCCCGGAAATGGCATTTGCAGCGTTCTGAGAACACATTTTGTGAAAAACTAGGGTTTCAAAACACTGTTTTAAGTTTTGTTATAAATCACATGCCAAGCCATGTACAGAAACATATACTATTATATTATGATGACAATTACGTTATATGAGTGTGATTTGTGTTATTTGGTACTGGAACCAAATTGGTACAGGAACATAAATGTAATTATATGCGTATAATGTTGCTACTTTCAAGTTTAGATCTCATTTGCGTGGCGTAGTTATCCTCTGTCCAACGTTTTTAGTCCAGGATAAAATGTTTCGGAAATTCCTTAAAAAAATCCTCAAAAACCTAAATTCCTTAAAAAAATTCTTAAAAGTCTTCAAAATTCCTATTTTTAAGGATAATTCCTTAAAAGTGAGAGCACTGACGAGGGGCGCAATTGCGCAAAAGAGATTAGGAATCCCGCCAAAACTTGGCTTATAAATTAATTAAATTAATAAATTATTAATTATTAATTACAGTAATAATTCCGTATTTTAAAGATTCCGGCTTTTCTCATTCTGGGTTTTAAAGATTCCGGCTTTTCTCATTCCGGGTTTTAAAGATTCCGGCTTTTCTCGTTCCGGGTTTTAAAGATTCCGGCTTTTCTCATTCCGGGTTTTAAAGATTCCGGCTTTTCTCATTCCGGGTTTTAAAGATTCCGGCTTTTCTCATTCCGGGTTTTAAAGATTCCGGCTTTTCTCATTCCGGGTTTTAAAGATTCCGGCTTTTCTCGTTCCGGGTTTTAAAGATTCCGGCTTTTCTCATTCCGGGTTTTAAAGATTCCGGCTTTTCTCATTCCGGGTTTTAAAAATTCCGGCTTTTCTCGTTCCGTTCCGTTCCGTTCCTCGATTCCGTTCCGTTCCGTTCCTCGATTCCCCGTTCCTGGTTTTAAAGATAGCCCTTGTTTAAAACCGTAATAAACGAAGAAAGACGTGATTTGAGAATGAAATGTAAGTTGAAATTAACTTTATATCCCTCAAATTTTCCATCCTATGTTTCTTAATGTAACTTCAGCTGTCCAAGTTCAAAATACAAGCTCGCGAAATTTGACAAATTTTGAAAATCTGTAAAAATAGCTTGACTTTGAACTGTATTTTCTCAAAAATAGCCCGTGGCCTCAATTTCAAATATAGCTAAATGAAAAGAAAAAAGTAGTAGTAAGGTGAGGGGCTTAATACACCCCGTAATTCATGAGTTATGCAAATTAATTAGCATAATCGATGACGTATTTTTCCGATGATTTTCCGATGATGATAAAACAACGAGGGCTTTCCGATAATTAATTTGCATAATGATGACGTATTTTCCGAAGATTCTCCGAGGCTGATAAAACAACGAGAGCTTTCCGACTAGTCGCCATTTTGTTTCAAGATGGCGGAAGGGTTAATAATGGGTGTTTTAAGGAAAAATAACATTGAATTGAGTGTGAATACTTTTCGTTTCCATTTAAAATTGCTTTTGGAAAAGCATGGGGGTTTATTTGAGAGCATGATATCTCGTACTGGAAGAGAAAACGTGCTAGAAAATTTGTGTGTAATCTATCAAGAGTTAGAACCTTCAAATTTTGGTCGAATTATGGCTTACTTGACTTTAGTTTACAAAGTCAGTGATTTTTGTGAGCCTGAAATTGTGCAAGAAGCCGTAGAAATCTGTGTATGGGAATTAAAACAAGTGGATTGCGCTAGCTTTGAAAGTAAAACAATCTTGGATACAACGCTTAGTTGCATGGTTGCTGCATAGAAAGCCTTAGCAACAGCCTGAATTTGAATATCACTAATCCCTAAAAAGTCATTAAGAAGTCATTAACTGTTGTACATGGCTGAACACATTGTAATTTGACGACTTGGTCTGAACATGTTTGTGCAAAACGGCTTTAACAACTGGACAAGCCTGATTTTGTACAATAGAGGGGTTGTAGATAAATATCACACACGGACAGTGATTGTCATATAAACAGCAATGGAGTGTTTGCATGGAGTGCCGGCGTCCGCAGTTTCTACAAAAAATGGAAAATTTTGGTTTTGCAACAAAAATAACCAGAAAAGTTGTGAATTCTTCTGCCCTGAGCAAGACCGCTTGTTGTTCGAAACGGCTATGATAATGTGGAGAGCGAATGGATCAATTCATCCGGTGTGTGATACTCACCAAAGACTAGCAAGAATGAAAGTCGTCAAAGACGTTGGTAAACTGAACTTTGGAAGGCCGTTTTTTTGTTTGTTGCGACCGCGAGAATCAGTGTAATTTCTGGCAGTGGGCTGACAGACACGAGTTGCCAAAACCAAAATGCAGACACGGATTGAATGCTTGCGTACGGAAAGTCAAAAAGGAAGGAGAAAATCAAGGTCGCCTTTTCTTTTGTTGTCCAAACGAGCGAGAAAAGTCGTGCGGATTTTTTGAATGGAAACTCGATCTGGAAAACCCGTTCAACCAAGTTCATTTTCCTCACGTTGAAAGAGTTGGTATATTGCAGAGTAATCCTGCGCTGTACACATACATGGTAGCTGAAACTGGACTTACCTTTACCAGCGCACGGGAAAATCCACACGATGCCTACGCCGAATATATTGGGGAATTGCCTATTTTCTCACCAACGAGAGATATGGAGCAACTGTCACTGATAGACTATTAGGAGACTATAATTAAGCTATTAAAATATTGTTATATTAACCCGAACAGAACACTTAACTAGCTAAACCTAGTGAGTGAAATGTTGTATAAATACTATAAATAAAAATCATAATCGTTTTTCTTTCTTTCAGTTCAAATAAAATTACTTCGTCGTCTTCTTTATGCCTAAGAGGGTAAAGTTCAATAGGATTGCGACGGATGACGCGTTGCCTTTGTAGTAGAAACCTGCGCCGTATCAGGAACACGCACACTGCTAGGACAATCACCAGCGGTAAAATCGCCATCAGCCATA